TTAAATCATTAATTGCAAGGACAGTTTTTTATGGGAAGATGAGGGCTTAGTACTCGCTTAAAATTGGTGAAAAAAAATAAAACTTTTGTATTGGAAATATGTCATAAAGGCCACATCCCTAAATTATATTTTGGTTTAAAACCTGAATCAATCATAAATAAAAGGAGATGTGAGGTATATGTCAATGAGACAGCAACCCAATGCCAAAAATAACACAAAAGATATGAAATGTTGTGATTAATGCTGAATATGCTATTGTATGTCAATGGCTGAACAATTACAAGTATTATATAAATTCTTTAAACAGGACATAAACACATAGGACACCACAATTGAATATTGACCATTGAAAATCTGAGGACAAGCTAACAAGCAAACAATGTTAATTATAACAAAAATAAGTGACTTTTTTGGTAAAATTATAAATCAGTAGCATTTAATTTTTCAGTATTTTTAGCATAGAAAGTATGATCTGAATGATTATTCAATTTACCTATAACTTTATAACATTTATCAGCAAAGTGGTGGAGTTACAAGTGTGGTTATAAATGATGGAATGACAAGGGCACCTGTTGTTAGATTTTCTTCTGCCAAGAGAGCTAGGTATTATGAATACGTAAAAAACATTTATTTTCTATTGATATATGTATGTACAAGGCTTAGAAACAGTTAAGAATATAAAACACGCTACTGTTTTGTATCTTGTTTTGTTCCAAGTACAAACAAACTTTATCTCAGTATCAGTGTATGGTTATTCCTTTCATGATGATCAACTTATAAAAACTATGCAGAAGATAATACTTATATGAAAATTTTAAATTGGCATATGAAGAAGAAGGCTTGAAAGATCCATGAACAATGTATTCATTTGCAGGCTCATAAATACCACTATACAAAGGTATATTGTTAACATCACAGATAAGGTACAAGGTTTTATATTTAAAGGGGCATTAGCTTCAAAATCATGTTCACCGATTTGACTCAAATTCTCATATTTGATTTATAACATACTAAAACGTATATCTAAATTAGAATAAGTCTGAAATAAACAGTTAACAATGCATGTACTCGATAATATTTATCAGAATTTCATGTATATTTTAGTCTAGACACCATCTAATTAACTATTGAGATGACCTCCGAAGACTGCCGATGGTCACATAACCTGATATAAACATCATCATAAATATAAACATAAACATAAATATAAATAGATAGCGACCTTGTGCAATTGGATTTTTCTATGTCTGTTTGATTTAATGTTATAGGTTAAAAAAATATTTAATTATCGTTTATACCTGTATAAGAATGATTTTTTGTGGATTGAATCAGTCAAGGAAATGGTTCATCTTTGTTTCACTTTCAATGTTGACATTCTTATCCTTTAAGTGTCTAAACACGACTAAAACATGCGTAACCAATCTCTAGCTAATGGTTAAATTGAAGGTCACATGAATACGGATTCAATGAGGTCGAATTATTCACTTGCAAGTGAATAAGCGATGTTTCTTTGTTTATTTTGACAAAATTGAACCAAATTGGCTGCTAAAAGCAAATTATTATTTCATTATTTCACTTTTATTAATGATTGAACCAAACTAAATCATATTCTAATTTTTTTCATATCTCGTAGCTAATACCTCTTTAATTTGAAACTATATATATCACAGATGTTTATATACATAAAGTAACTCCTTAGATAACATGGTTGCAGTATGAAATAAGTGAAGAAAGCATGATGGTCAACAGATACATTTTGAGTTATTATATGCATTGTACTTGATTTGTAATACATTGTATACCATGTTTAACGAAGGATACATGAGTTAAAAATAATGTTTTTCATTCTTTTAGTGAAGTGAAGAAATGGTTAGAAGATAAAGACAATCAAGATAAAGTAAAAGAAAGTTTTGATATGACTAGCAGGTATATATAGAACATTTAAAAAGTTATAAATTTAATGAAAATTTATACTACAGATACTAAAATTGTGTAATAAAATATCAAGAGTGGTTAAGATATGACTGTCTTTGAGAAAGCATATTCACATGAACATATTATAAGATGATTGTTATACAACTAGCATAAATTTTGTCTGCTTGTATTATTTCAGGTTTGCAAGACTTACTAATTTACATATTGTACAAGCAGGAAAACTTTTATACATCAGGTTTATAGCTGTTACAGGTGATGCCATGGGCATGAATATGTTATCAAAGGTATGCTATATCCACCCAATATTTTTTGTCAGTTTATGTCTTATAGAGGAAAATTTTAGAGAAGAATAATTTTTTATTGCGGAAATTGAACACATAGATCATTGTAGGAAATCAGTTTTATGTAAATTTTTAAACAAAAATTTTGATATCTTATTGTAAAAAAAATGTAGGACTAAGAACATTGATTGATTTATTGTTGGTATTTATAACTACTTTAAACATTCTTAGGTATATCAAGATGGGAAGTTTTCATTGGGGAGAAAGCTTGAGAGAACCACTTACCTCAGGCAGGAAAACTGGCATTCCTAGTCAATTAAGATCAGAGTCAAACTTTCAATTTCAATGTTGGCAGGCTAATGACCACTGTTGATGATCTACTTAGACCACTCAGACACATAGGCCCCTTTAATTTGTTTTTATGTTCAAAATAGAGGTGATTGTTCCTATTGGTCAGAAGATGACACTCATTTATCAGGCTTGGTTTTTATCTTTGCACTTGTGATCATTGGCTAGAAATAGCCATAAATGAATATGACTGAACCAGAAAACTTGATGTAAGAAGGACAAAACATTTATTTTTAAAATTGATTTTTTATTGCCATCAGTATAACAGTAATGGCCTTGTTGCATATTTTTGTAACATATGAAATAGATTTCTTTTTCAATTTTAGGGATCTGAAAAAGCCCTGGCAATGCTATCAATAGAGTTTGCAGATATGGAAATTTTAAGTTTAAGTGGAAACTTCTGTACCGACAAGAAAGCTGCTGCTGTGAATTGGTAAGTGTGAAAGTTTATTTCCATAAAATTATAAAAATGGTTATGCTTTTTATATAAAATGAAGATAATCTCCTTGCATAAGATTGACTCTGTTCAATCATAATAAAGCCTTCCAGTTCTATTCTTAAGTTAATTATTGAAAGAAAATGAAAGTTTTTTTCAAATATTCATTCACTAAGCTTTGTTTGAAAATAGATTATTTCCAGGCTTTAATTTTTGTGTAAAGATTGCATGAAATGCAATCAAAAAACCCTATGGTACTGACTTGATATCTTTATCTTCCAATGTTGATCACTACCTTCCTTGGATAGTTCAAACAAAATAGTGCAGCGAAGATATCTTTATTTAGATCCTATCCAGTCAATGTCATGCAATATGTTGATAATATGTTATACTTTGATATTTAAGTTACAGTATGATGTGTATTTGAATTACCATACTTGTCAAGAAAACATTTTTTTTATTAAAAAATACGTAAGTAATGCATGATGTATGAATCTGCTCAACTACAAATGTACCATCATGAACAAAGGAAGATAACTCGAACTCAAATTTTTAATTTGCATATCAAAATACAATTCAATGTTTTATTTAAAAATTCACAAAATTGCAAAATGAAAGCAATCTTTTACCTACAGTACTCACAAGCACTTTATTGTTTTATAGTAGCATTCGTTTGCTTTTTTTATCCTTTTTTTGGAAAATCACTTGGTTTAAAGAAAACAATTTAATTTGAAATGACATAAAAAGCATTGAGTGGGTGGCGCATATTCGCCTTGGACACATTTTCGCCGTTTTGCTATTTTTTCTGTAAAATTTGTGTGCCTTTATCCAATACTTGTCTAAATAGATGTTAAAGGCTGTTTGTAATGTTACAACTGTTGATTTTCCTCTTTACCCCATTTCCAAGGTTATTCGCACATATTGAGAAATACGCCGGTGTTTTTAAATGATTTTGGCAATTATGTAAGATTTATATGGCAATCATGCGCAGTCTTAAAGTAAATATTTGTGAGAAAAATCGTATAGGAATGATCTCTCAAGCTAATTCATGTAATTGCAAACATTCGTTTTTATAATATACCAGGATAATGAGGATGGTCATATCATACATTGCGGCGAAAATGTGTCCCCCATGGTACACGAACAACTTGATTTCCTCTTGAGTTTACGTTCGTTTTTAGAACAATTAACCAATGTTTGGAAGATAAATTCTTTATCAAACATTTTTTTCATATAGTTAAATTTCTGAAACCTTCATAAAAAGTTCCAAATATTCGAATGTAGGTCGGATGTAAGTGGAAATGAACGAATTATGCGGCGAATATGGGTCTCTCACTCTATATCTATTGTTGTCTAGAGTTTCAATTATTAATATTCCTTGAAAAACTATTTCTTTGGTGCCATTTTAGTGTTAACTTGTTAATTATGAAATATCCATTGAATGCTGTGGGGGGAATGTACAATGAGATTCTCAAAAGATTTATGAACATTCAAGTAGGGTGTAGGTTTAAATTGTATTGGTCAACTCAGGATGATTAAGGTGACATGTGTTTGGATTTGTATGGGGGAAATTTCTTTGACATTACCCAGTAACATGTAATTATCTAAAACTGCTTGTAATTTCGACCACTGGACACTATCAGCCATTTATCAGTAAGTCACAAGTGTCATGTATATTATAAATATATGATACTAGTACATGTATTGTGACAAGATCATGCCATATATCCTGCCCATTATATATGTTTAGTGTACTTTTCATTACAGGTTAGAAGGCAGAGGCAAATCTGCAGTCTGTGAGGCTGTTATACCTGCTCATGTAGTGGAAAAATTACTGAAGACAACTGTACAAGCATTAGTGGACTTAAACATTAGTAAAAACCTGGTTGGTTCAGCTATGGCAGGGAGCATAGGAGGATTCAATGCACATGCAGCAAATATTGTAACAGCCATTTTTATTGCTACAGGACAGGTAAAATAGTTACTAGTTATAAAAAGTTACATTACATATTAACAATCTCGAAAAGACTTTCAGAAAAGTGATAGAAAGGTACCTTTACTTACAGTGAATGATGCAATAAAAAAACTAGTACATAAAGGTCATCCACAGGACCAAAGAAAGATGACATTATAAGAGAGGTGATCATTGAATTGAAGTTCAAAATGCCTTTGTATTACTACATCTGGACTGTTAGAGGGTGACCTGCCAAACAGGTTTCTACTTAATGCCTATGTATTACTACATCTGGACTATTAGAGGGTGACCTGCCAAACAGGTTTATACTTAATGCCTTTGTATTACTACATCTGGACTGTTAGAGGGTGACCTGCCAAACAGGCTTATACTTAATGCCTATGTATTACTACATCTGGACTGTTAGAGGGTGACCTGCCAAACAGGTTTATACTTAATGCCTATGTATTACTACATCTGGACTGTTAGAGGGTGACCTGCCAAACAGGTTTATACTTAATGCCTATGTATTACTACATCTGGACTGTTAGAGGGTGACCTGCCAAACAGGTTTATACTTAATGCCTATGTATTACTACATCTGGACTGTTAGAGGGTGACCTGCCAAACAGGTTTATACTTAATGCCTATGTATTACTACATCTGGACTGTTAGAGGGTGACCTGCCAAACAGGTTTATACTTAATGCCTATGTATTACTACATCTGGACTGTTAGAGGGTGACCTGCCAAACAGGTTTATACTTAAAAGAAGTAACCTTAATAACTGATTTGACTGTAAAAATAAAATTATTTTGTGGACAATGTTTTAGGGTCAATGTTAAATATTTTATGTTTATACTATGTCAGAGTGTGGCATATATAATTTAATTTGGCGTCACTAACTGATTTTTTGTATTTCTACGTTGAATTGAACATTTATGATATTTATGAGGATGAGAAACAATAACCTTGTACAGTTATTAGAAAAGGTTCCAACTCCTTCAGGCAAAGTTGACTTTAGATAGATGTGGCTATTTATTTTAGTTGAGCACTCCACATGTTTAGGTACTTAAACATCTTTTAGCTTTCAAATTTTTGGTTTTTTCAAAAGCACTTCAGATGCAGCAAATTTATATAAAGTGTTATTTCATTTATATATTTGCTTCTGATAGAGTTTACAATATTGTCTTACTATTGCAGGATCCAGCACAGAATGTGACTAGTTCAAATTGTATAACTCTGATGGAAGCTACAGGAGAAAACAACTCTGATCTTCATATTACTTGTACCATGCCTTGTTTAGAGGTGGGAACAATAGGAGGAGGCACAGTGCTGCAACCTCAGTCAGCTTGTTTAGAGGTCAGTTTAAAAAGTAAAAATTATACATACACACCCATCCCTTTAATGTAAACATTACAAGATGACAGATTCCTTCATTCATAGTTGATTGTGGAGAGCTATGAATGTACTTTGATCACAACTTTTGCTAAGTCCATACTTATTTTGATTTCCAAAGCTCTAACCTTCTTTGTGATTGTTTCAAGAAAAGCAGTTCAACACAGCATATTCAAAATGTTTCAAATTGGGATAAGCAAGATAAAAAAACAAATAACTAAAAAGGTTTTAAATATTTTCAACTTACAAATTTTATCATAATGAAAATAAAAAGAAATGTGATAGTGAATTGTCTCAAGTAACCATATCATTATAAACAGACTGACATAACCTTTTCATAGTCCTGAGCTGTAGAAGGCAATTCATTCAAATTCATGTATTTTTAGGTTTTACATCCATCGATAATTTTGTGGTTACATTTTTTTAGCAAAATATTTTTAATGATAAAATTACTTATGCACTAGATATTAAACTTTTTAATCAATTTTGAATTCTAGAAAAGATATTTGAGTGAATGAATTAAATTATCATATAAATGTATGTTTATTTATAGATGTTGGGAGTATGTGGGTCTTGTACAGAAAATCCCGGCGAGAATGCCAAGCTTTTAGCCAGTATTATATGTGGAACTGTATTAGCTGGAGAATTATCTTTAATGTCTGCATTAGCTGCGGGACATCTTGTCAGAAGTCATCTAAAACATAACAGGTAAAGTGTTATACTTTAATGATATTCTAATGTCAGCATTGGCTGTCCAACATATTGTACAAAAGTCCAGGTAAAGTGCAACACGTCAATGTAACTTATTAACGAACTTAAATGTTATGTTATTATAGTTTATATGTCTCAAAATTTAAAAAGCAATGACACAATGAACAAACTGCACAGTCAAGTGACCAATAGGATGGCCTTTGACTGGAACAAGGAAAAATTGTAGAATTATGATGTTGTACTTGATTGTAGTGTTTTAGTAAAAACACATTTGAACACAATTAAATTTTATGTATGAATATTTAGAATATGTATAATTTTAAAAATAGATAAAAATTCTAAATATATGTATTCATAATAAATACTAATTTTGAATTCAATTTTTCTTCCAGATCAACAGTAAATGTCTTACCTAACCAGAGCTTGCCCAGTTCATCAGATTTGTCTCAGTCACCACAACATTCCCATGTCTTACCAAACCAGAGTTTGTCCAGCTCATCAGACATGTCTCAGTCATCACATCATTCCCATGCAGACAGTTCTCATAAACTTTTAGGTTGTTCAATAAATGTCATCAAAAGTGAACATAGTATATCAAATTCAGTGGATAGTAACAATACTCAAACCAAATCTAATAACTTTCTGTCACCTGTGTGTGATTCTCGTAGGAAATCCTGTGATACAACGAAATGTGGCAAATTCAATGAAAACAGTATTGAATTGTATTCAGACAAAGATTGTTCAAATAAAAAGGATAAGATATCATGACAAAGCAGTTAATTAGGAATTTCATGTTTTGTTATCGAAAATACGGTGGCATTTTAGCTTTGTGTATCAGTTTTAAAGTGGTGAATGTAATGTAAGAATGTGATGTTGGAATTCATAAAATAAACACATGTGGTAACCTTGTGTCTATAATGATTATAAGGGCCCTTTGATTATCAGCTTCTGCTTTATTGTAACAAAGTTTTCCATCGCAAATAGTTGAGCATGTGAAAAGGAAATGAATTGATAGAGCCATGATATTTTTTTTTTATTTTCCATGCATTCCAATTTATTAAGTCTAGTGAACTTTTCCTTAACAGTTGTTTAAAAATGATTTGTTGTATTAATTTGTACTTTAAGAATCATTTATTACTATTTACCTTTTGAAGTTTCATATGACTTTAAGACAAACTGTATTCCTGCCTATACAACACTAGTTGAACAAGCAAATTGTATTGTGTGTGATCTTGACAATAATTTTGTCTGTGTAAAGGCATTTATGCCTACTTAAGAGTTGTTGCCCTTTCTAAAAAAAACAAAGTAAGAAACAAAGTTTTTCATTTGAAAAAGGACTGTTGGTTACATTTTTAGCTCACCTGGCCCAAAGGGCCAAGTGAGCTTTTCTGATCACTTGGCGTCCGTCGTCCGTCGTCGTTAACTTCTTGGCCAAATTAAACCAAACTTGGCCACAATCATCATTGGGGTATCTAGTTTAAAAAATGTGTCCGGTGACCCGGCCAACCAACCAAGATGGCCGCCATGGCTAAAAATAGAACATAGGGGTAAAATGTAGATTTTGGCTTATATCTCTGAAACCAAAGCATTTAGAGCAAATCTGGGGTAAAATTGTTTATCAGGTCAAGATCTATCTGCCCTCAAATTTTCAGATGAATCTGACAACCCGTTGTTGGGTTGCTGCCCCTGAATTGGTAATTTTAAGGAAATTTTGCCGTTTTTGGTTATTATCTTGAATATTATTACAGATAGAGATAAACTGTAAACAGCTATAATGTTCAGCAAAGTAAGATCTACAATTAAGTCAACTTGACCAAAATGGTCAGTTGACCCCTTAGGTAGTTATTGCCCTTTATAGTCAATTTTTAACCATTTTTCGTAAATTTTTGTAATCTTTTACAAAAATCTTCTCCTTTGAAACTTCTAAGACAAATTTAACCAAACTTGTCCACAATCATCATTAGGGTATCTAGTTTAAAAAAATATGTCTGATGACCCAGCCCGCGAACCAAGATGGCCGACATGGCTAAAAAATAGTACATAGGGTAAAATGCAGTTTTTGGCTCATATCTCTGAAACCTAAGCATTTAGAGCAAATCTGACAGAATAAAATTGTTTATAAGGTCAAGATTTATCTGCCCTGAAATTTTCAGACCAATCAGGCAACACGTTGTTGGGTTGCTGCCCCTGAATTGGTAATTTTAAGAACATTTTGCAGCTTTTGGTTATTATCTTGAATATTATTATAGATAGGGAAAAACTGTAAACAGCTAAATGTACAGCAAAGTAAGATTTACAAATAAGTCAACATGACCAAAATTGTCAATTGACCCCTTAAGGAGTTATTGCCCTTTATAGTCAATTTTTTACAATTTTCATAAATTTTGCAAATTTTTGTAAATTTGTACAAAATATTTTCCACTGTAACTACTGGGCCAAGTTCATTATAGATAGAGATAATTGTAAGCAGCAAGAATGTTCAGTAAAATAAGATCTACAAACACATCACCATCACCAAAACACAATTTTGTCATGAATCCATCTGTGTCCTTTGTTTAATATGCACATATACCAAGGTGAGCGACACAGGCTCTTTAGAGCCTCTAGTTTTCACTTGTTTGCTGAGTTGGATTTTTATTTTATTTTATCACAAATATTTTAGGTGTAATACCACCAAATCATAGTACGTCACATCTGGTTTCATACGAAAAAGGGTCGAAAAAAAATATTCCCTTGAATTTGACAGTTGTAGGAAATTAAGACTGCATTTCATTGCAGAAAAAAAATTCTGAGTCATAAACATCTATCTTGGGTGTTTCAAAGCACCATTTTTTTTGTTTGCTGTTTCTATGAAATATTTTGGAAACTTCAGGTGACATGGTTACTAAAGCTTGTTAACAGGAAAAAAAGGGGTGAAAATTTTATTGGTTTACTTCCGGTGATGGTTATTATCTTATATGCAATGAAATGTTATGTGAAATTTTCACTGTACTGGACAGGATAAAACTTTACTCATGCCAAGTATTTCTGTATTTGTCACAAAGATAAATTCTGCACAATTTTTTGAAAAATACCAATTGAACAAAGACTAATATGGGAAAACCAATGGTGGTATTACTCCAAAATGGGAAGCTGCACATGCACCTTTGACCTTGTATTTACTCTCATTTTTGTCAAGCCTGCGACAAAAAGTCGCAAAAAGGAGACATAGTGATCCTACATTCCGTTGGCGGCGGCGGCGGTGTCCACAAATATTCACGCTGTGGTTCAAGTTTTTGAAATTTTAATAACTTTCTTAAACTATCCTGGATTTCTACCAAACTTGAACAGAAGCTTGTTTACGATTATAAGATAGTATCCAGAATTAAATTTTGTAAAAAAAATCCTGTTTTTCCATATTTTACTTATAAATGGACTTAGTTTTTCTGCCAGTTAACATTACATTCACTCTGTGGTTAAAGTTTTTTAAATTTTAAGAACTTTCTTAAACTATCCTGGATTTGTACCAAACTTGGATAGAAGCTTGTTTATGATCATAAGATAGTATCCAGAAGTAAATTTTGTAAAAAAAAAATCCTGTTTATATGTATTTTACTTATAAATGGACTTAGTTTTTCTGCCAGTTAACATTACATTCACTCTGTGGTTAAAGTTTTTAAAATTTTAATAACTTTCTTAGACTATCCTGGATTTGTACCAAACTTAGACAGAAGCTTGTTTATGATCAAAAGCTAGTATCTAGAAGGAAATTTTGTAAAAATTATTTCCTGTTTTTCCATATATTACTTATAAATGGACTTAGTTTTTCTTCCAGTTAACATTACATACAGTCTGCAGTTAAAGTTTTTAAAACATTTATTAGATTCATAAACCATCCTGGATTTTTACCAAACTTGGATAGAAGCTTCTTACAATCAAAAGATAGTATCTAGAGGAAAATTTTTAATAATTTTTTCCCCATTTTTGTTGAGCCTGCGACTCACAGCAAAAGTAGGCGAGACACTGGGTTCCGTGGAACCCTTACGAATTTTTTTTAAATTTCATGCTATTTCACTCAAATATAGCAAACATGAAACATTCTGAGTGGATTGAGTCTCAAAAACACATTTTAGGGGAAATTGCCTTGAAATAGGGCTATACCATGAATATTAGTAGGCACAGCAAGCCAAACTCTGTGTTTTGGTGAGCTT